AGCGCTAATGGTAAATAAAGTAATTTAGTGACTTCTCCCGGCATTCTGTGTCAGGATGATGAGCACAGGCACTCTGCCTTGTTGCATATTAGATCATTAGATAATAAAGTGTTAGCGCATGCAAGCTGACAGGGTCTCTGCACTCTAGCATTGTGAGGACACAGCATTTTGCCACAGGGGAAAGAAATAGAGAAACTGATGCCACAATTGGCCTTAAATTCAAGTAAATAGAACCTGAAAGTCGAGATGAACCCTTGTGACAATAACAGCATTCCTGAAGCCTTTTCAAGCACTCTCATACACAGTCCCCACAAATTTGCCTGAGTGGCTTGACTGGAAGATGAGGCACACCCATATATACCAATTGTTTCATATTATCATGGGTGGATGTGATTCAGGTCCCTTGGTCCCAAACCCAGGCTTTTGTAGAAACTCGAATCCTGAGAGTAGTTACTTGTGATGCTGCCTCCCTCCACAACTGTACATCTTCCATAAAGCCATTGCTTAAAGAAGAAGCATCAATAAAGGTACTCATAAATATCCAGCCAAAGAAAATCTTAGTATTTATGAATGGAGGGGAAAATGGGAGGGAGGGGTGATTACTGTGAGCTACAGTGTTCCAAGTTCCAGCCACTTTGGATCATGCAAGATTCTAGGAAATAAATCTGCCTTTGTCGTTCCTCAGAATTGAAATCCAGAGACATTAATCTGAGCCAAGGAGCACCGAGGGCATGGGCCTTTCAGGGAAGTCTGCATGAATGTAAACCATGATTTTTTTTCTAGAAATGTAGAAAGATGAGCCACAAGAGGGACTTTCCTCCCAATGTCTGACAAACAGGATATAAATAGAGATGTGTTGTATTGCTCAAAATAATCTGGGCTACCTGTAAATGAGGTGGGAAAAGGCCCAGAATGATGAGGACTCTACATGTTAAAGAGGTGAAGACAAGCTGTGAGAAAGAAGTAAAGGTGGCAATGCAGAGACTGTTGCCTGGGACATGTTCCTACCTGTGCTGGTGTGTATGTGTGTGTGTGTGTGTGTGTGTGTGTGTGTGTTTACAGGACAGAGGAGAGTGGACCACCTTGGGTATAGTTTCTCAGATGCCACCACCTTGTTTTTTGAGACAAGTTCTTTTTGTTGGCCTGAAACTCACCAAATAGGACTAGGCTGCCTGCCCAGTGGCTTTGTGAGATCTGCTATCTCTGCTTCGCCAGTGATGGGGTCATAAGCATGTTACCAGACTAGACTTGATTTGATAATGTGGGTTCTGAAAGTTGAAAGCAGGTTCTTTAGAGTAAATGCTTTATTGACTGAGCCATCCTGCCAGCCTTCTCCTCACTTCCTAAGGGCAAAAAATGGGAGCTCAACATGGGAGCTAGGCATGGAAACTAGGTAAGGGAGTTATGCTTCGAGCTTCTCTGAAACCATGAACTGCAAATCTCCAACTGACTGTTAAGTCCATCTCCAGATCAGCCAGCTCCCATTGCAACCAACCAGGCAAAGTCAAAGCAACAACTTTGGTCCTTGACCCAGGCTCTCCAAACTATGCCTGTTGATTATTTATCAAGTGTTTCTTCTTCCTCCCACCTAAACAACGTTAGCCATACAATGCCTTCAGTGACTTGAAGAGTACTGAGGAGGCACCATTACTGTAAAGTGAGGATCAGAATAATTTTAAGTACAGACATGGAGCAAGGGATGTAATCATGAGCAGGTATTTCAAATGGCCTCCTGAAAAAAGTAATATCCATCCATCTTGGCACTAATGAAACATAAAGCCTCAGCTTTTGAACGATGATGGTTTACTTTTGAAAGACTATAAAACTGGGTGTGGGGGAAATGCCTTCTAAGAGTACGGCATGGGGCTAATTAATGAAATGTACTGTTTGTGCATTCCTCAAGCACAGGTGGAAAAAAACAGGCAAAAATGATGACAGGGGTGTGTTTATTAAATTGGGATGCTGGCAGGAAAGGGAGATTTCTACCTTGTGAATTATGTGATGGATAGCTCGTGGGCCACAGTAAAAGTCAGGCTATCAGATGATAATTTGTATGGTCGTGTTCTCAAAGGAATCCTGCTGACCTGGCAAAGGAGGGGTGGTAGAGTGAGAGGAGCGGGTTGAGTTTCATTTGAGGAGACCAGAAAAAAAAGTGCAATTGGTAGCTGGTATGCAGTAGACTCTTGGGTAGATAGAAAGAGGAATCTATTGCCTAGACACTAGAGCGAGTTATTTAGATGTATGCCCAAGCTAATTCAGATTCCCTCTGAATAACATGCTCTCTTCTTGAACCACCTTTTGACTGTTTCCTCCAGTTGTCTTACAGATAACCACTGATTTCCCACAATCTTCAGTGGTAGTGATTTCTCCCTGGCCAAAGTCACCCAGAAGAAAGCAGGCTATGCCACATGACAATTAAGAGGGAGTAAGTGGTTGGCCTAGAGAACTGAAGGCAGAGGAGGGATGTCTGAATACCACAGCAGGTAGAGTCAAGCTGCCTATGACTCTAAACCAGATTTCCAAATGAAATAAATCAACAGGTGGTCACACAGATGTGCTGAAAGGTGTGGATGTTTGCCCCCATTTACCTACGGATTAGCCTTTTCTCACTTTGTAGTCAAATGGGAGTACCTTGGACCAGGTCTCTCTCTCTTCTGAAACTGAGAGTAAGAGGTGCCAGCATTCCAAGATAGTCAGGCATGCAACCAAAAAGAGTGTGCTTAAAAGATAGAGCCCTGCCTTTAAATCCTTAGCTTTTTATTTTGCAGGGTCAAAGTGCAAAGCACATCAGTAGTGTTCAACTAGAAACTCTAAAATTTGTAAATCATAGGAAATGTGATGAAGGTGGAAGGAGGAAATCACACAAAGTCACAGTTAAAAGTAGCAATGCCAACAGATGAAAATGATTCGCCTACCATGTTCCAGATAAGAGGGCGTACCTTCCGAGGGGTCAAGCCTCCTAGCCCTCCGCCCATGCTTGGAATTATTGTGGACAAACATGTTATCAGAGACTGCCCGGACATGGCCATCCACGTTGACTGTGGTAGACACCACGACCTAGAGAAAGGAGAGGAAAATGAATGAACATTTTCATATAAAAGCATGGTGGGAAATAAACTCAAGTTAAATAAATAACAGCTGGGAGCAGAAGAAAATTGCATAGCTATTTCACATAATAACTGGTGCTTATGTTGTACATGTCTAACAAGAGGC